TCGTAAAAAATCGTTTTTTGGATTTTTTTTTAAACTAAAAAGGAGCAATTTTTATATTTATCAATATGGACGGAGTAAATCGGGAGCATTATTTTGAGCTATTGATCGTTCAGAAATTTTCATCTTGCGGGCTAACTTCACGAGGGTGTGCTTACGACTTGTGACTGCCTGACTGGACGAAATACGTGACATAACTTTCATTTTACATGTTACTTGGTTACATGTTCGGTATAATATTTTATAATGGAATCATTTAAGTACGGACGAACAAACGTAATGTGGACTTTAAAAATGTAAAAAAAAGAAGGTGTGGCAAAAAATTTCCGAAAATTTTCGATTTTAATCGATTTTTGTATTTACATAAATATTTATACATTTTCCGAATATACATACATGATTCTTATATTCACTGTCCGTTTCAGGAATCGAATGCAATTAATGCACAAATTCAACAAAAAAGCACAGTAATCGGTAGTCGTAACCAAAGAGGTTATATACTTGCAATGGAACGCAGCCTCTATGTTTAATGTAGAATAGCAAGTTGTAATCACATCCGACATCCAACATACGACAAGCGTTTAGCGACATCCGACAACGACATACGACGTATTGTAGAACGGACCTAAGCGTCCAAAAGGAACGGTGGCCGTTGTGTTGTCGGAACGCACCTAACCAAAATTTGTATGGACAACTACATAATCTCTATGCGATTTAGATAAAAGTATTGCGCTATATAACCTTGTGAAAAGGTTGAAGGCGCTATAATTCACCAGCCAGTGGAGCAAAAGAAAAGGAAAAAATAGATAAAAGTATATCCAGATAAACTAATTGCAATAGCTGTATAATCATAAGTAAAAAGAATATTATCCAATCTTTATTAAAAACATATTATATCCTACATTTGCTAACATAATTATATAAAATATAATCATATCACTTTCAATTGCCATCTCTATACGCTCACAGTCACTCACAAATGCCAAACGGAACGGCTTTGCTGACACGTATGAGCGCTTAAATTTCAAAAGGAACGGCAGATCGGAAGAGCACACGTCT